TGGCAAGTGCTTTCTCTTGATACTCTTTAGCCCTTTGATATTCGCCAAGAGAATGAAACAGATTTCCAAGGTTCCTGTTTGTTGTTCCTTCTCCTCTTCTGTCGCCAGTTTCTATCGCGACGGCAAGTGCTTTCTCGTGATATTCTTTAGCCTTCTGATATTCGCCGAGGGAATCAAACACAGCTCCGAGGTTCCCGTATGTTGCAACTTCTCCTTTTCTGTCGCCAATTTCTATCGCGACGGCAAGTGCTTTCTCTTGATATTCTTTAGCTTTCTGATATTCTCTAAGGTTAGTACAGACATTTCCAAGTCTTCCATAAGCCATCGCTTCTTGTCTTTTGTGACCAACCATTTTCATGATGGTGAGTGCGCCCTTAAAGAGTTGCTTCGCCTCTGCAAACCGGCTTTGTACTTCACATTTGTCTCCCAGTTCTATGATTAATTACCCAGCATGTTGGAACGTTTTAAGAAGTTTGACGGCATGTCTTTCCGCATCTGTGTAACCAGAGATGGCGTAGTATGCATTGAATAGTTCATCGGAAATATTAAGGTGACTACCAGAGCCAAGGTTTTGAAGTAGAATCACACATTCATTACATAACTCAGTCGCTTGTAGGCCACGATCAGTGTTCAGAAGAAATATGACGACATTTAGACCTATTTGGACTGATTTTAGGATTTCTGCAGCCTCACTCATAACGGCTCTCTTCTGTCTGTTGTCGTCAGAAACGGAAAAAAAGATAAAAAGAAAGTAACACTTTTATAACTTTATAAAGTGTTTTTAGGGAATTTCTGGTTGTCTTCCTCCTTACAAATGTCTAAGCGCAACATTTCTTTTTCATTCTCTTTTTTTTTCAAACCAGTCACAAGTGTATCATCTGGGTTCAAATCACAATAATTGTAGAGCTGATTTGGATACAGCTTTTAAAAAATTATCACCAGTAGAACAGCAGTTAACTTACCAATCGTGTTACGTTAGCATTCTTGTGAAAGGAAAATTATCGGTTAAAAGGAATCAGTGTAAACCTGATAAGGATGGAACTTGCATTACAGATAAGATATCTCAATAAATATTGAAGCTCACATATCATTGATAAGAGTTTGATGGTTTTAATTTCTCTTTGCCCGATTTTTTAAAACCTTCAAGTTACAGAAGTGAGGAACACGTTGCTTCTCTCTCCAATATCAACATAATATTCAGTGAACAAGCGACGAGAATACTTATCAGCCGTGGGTTTTTTTCCTCATACAACATTGAATTCTCCTTACTCACTTGTTTCGTATTGTGATCGAATGACTGAGGAAGCCGAGATTTAGAGACTGAAATAACGCATTCCCTGCAACAGAGATGAATGACAATCTGACAAGAGGGAAAAAAATTAACAGCTTTATTGCTGAAACAAAAAATTGGTTTAGAAAACGTAAAACAAGACTACGTTGCTTTCTTACCTCCCTGTAATTTAAATAAAAATCATGGCATTTTCATGTTCTTTTTTTTGAAAAAAAAAATTCAGATTTAAAAATCTGAATTTCCCGTTCGTGCATTGCGTATCTGCTTTTACTCTTTCACTCCCAGACTCGCCAACAGTTTTGGAGAATAAAGAAACTTATCAGCTGGACGGTGTCAAATTGACGCAACACTTCATTCTCTAAAAATATTTACTGTCATATTTGAAACATTTGCAAAGGAGACTAAGTAAGATGATGAAAGTTAAAGGCCTAACATTGAGTTCATCATTTTATTTTGCAGACTATGATAAGTTTAAGTCAAACAAATATTTTCCAATTCTAAGATTTTTTCGAGGTTTAAATGCTCTGGCTTTGAATATCTAGGGTAAATCATTCCAGTATTGTAAAGCGGGAAAAATTGTTTCTTATATTATTTTTTACCTTTTATACAAAAAGCTTGTTGTGTTTGATATTCTGGTCGTATGACTGATGAAACCAAAAGCACGAAACTGAAATAAGCCTTTTCTGAAAAACAAAGATAAATGCAAATAGCTATTGCAAGAAAGACGTAAAAACGTTTGTAAAATAGAAGTAAAATGAATGAAAAAAAATTGATGAACCAAAGAGGGAAAAACGGTAACCAAGTATAAAGACTATGTACATTCGATCTGTACAGAACAACAACAACAACAACAAACCGCGTAGGAACCTGAAAATCAAGCGCTCATCATCTTCTCCATAAATTAAGCGCACAAGGTTAAATTTTCAAACAGACTAGATTTCCCCGCCTTGAATTAATATGAAATTTAGCAATACTACGCGATTTGTATATACTCTGCGTTCGACTGACTCTGAAAAACATTAAGCTACTCAGGACGGCCAAGGATACAACATTAGACGAACCGGGACATATAAAGATTTGATATGATTTTCAATTTCGAGCGGCCTTATTTTATCTATTTTTTACATTGGGAACACTAACAATGTATACCGTCTTTCAGAATCTGAAAACTTGTTTTGCAGAAGATAACTGACCTCGCGCGTGAAAAGCAATGTGTACATGATGCTAACATTTGTAAACTTTGGGTACAAATTGGGCATGTATATTTGATTAAATTCACACAAGCGGTTTGATTGTTATCCAGCTAATGGTAGGTATGAGTGAAACGAATTTGACTCAACGCAGCACAAGTACTGATGTTTATGCGTCAGAAATTTTTTCTCCGAGGAATACGAAGAAAATTTTCAAAAAAAAAGGGGATTTATTAAGAACGACGTCCTACTATAGCAATTCAAATTGTGTCAGAAAGTTAATAAATATAATAATGGCCTCTGTAAGAACAGCTCCAGCTACAAAGGCGTTGAAATGTGAATCATAAAATTGATGAGAATCACATTAACACATCAGGACATTAACAAATAAATATCGTACTTACCTTGGCCCTAGCCCTGAACGCTTTATTGTTTTGTATGGTGAAACAGCCAATTTAAAATTAGAATAAGTAGCGTGTGTCTATTTTAAGGTTATAGGCGCATGGTGAATCTCAACCCACCACTGAGGGGCCTGAAATCGCGTATGCATTGTAAGACAAGTCGGCGTGAGATTTGCAGGGAATCTGGCACTAATTAGCAGTACCAGACCCCGTACACACCTCTCGCTGGCTCGTGTTCCTGAAGGTCTCATACGATCCGGCAGGCGAAGAAGCGCTGGTTACCAAATGCTAATAATGATATCTCTCATGCTAACGTAATCTCCCTCGCAGCTGTTGTTCGCTCTCGTCACGCAACAGTCTCTCTCCAACGTGGGAGAGAGAGCGTTGCATGACGAGACAAACAAATGTCTGCGAAGGAGACTACAGTGTGCGTTAAACGACAATAAGCCACGGTGCGCGTTTACTTCAGATAAATTGGAAGTTTTCTCTCGGAAGTTTTATTATTATCTCTTTTTTTTGTCATCATTTTCATGATAAGTTTTATTATCATCATAGTGATTTACCATTTACCAGCACACCTTAAATGAAGCGCCCCTCTATTAGTCAATTTAGCGTCTACTATTCGCTCATGAGTTACCGCTCACGATTGCCGTATAAGCAGGCGCGCTAATGTGGCGCGACATAGCGCCAACGTTCAAGGTCGAAAAATGAAAATGCTAC